ATGTGCTGAATGCCTTTGTGAGAGCTAAGTCATTTATTATTTTATACGTACTTATTTTTCATTGAAAGACAATTTTACATTATTCAACTTTTCAAGATAGACTATTGTTTTTAAGTTCTGACAGAGGAATATTTTCCACAGGACACCAGGCTGATGGTGACAATTAATTTTGAATTATTGAATCCCAACACGATGGTGTGCATTTCAATACTTGGATTATGAATTATACTGTCTTATCTGAGATTAATCAGTGGACCTTTCTGTTTCCATGTAGCCTAGTATTAGCATAATGTAGGTATTATACTCTTAGCAGATACCTCAATATATGAGGTAGTAAAAGCTGATATTATAATGGTAATAATGTCTTGAGAGGTTAAGTTAATATATTAGTTGGCAACGATGTATTAAAACTCAAATTGAAACCTTACCCGGAGTAGTAGGCACAAAAGTAGTAGTAAGTTCTGAACAAATAAGAAAACAAATATTTATGTACAAAATCATGACATTAAACTCACATTGGTTGGACGACTAATTAGAGGTAAAATAAAATAAAAAATTATCCCACCTCCCACCAAAAAAAAACAACAAACACACGCAGTGCCTACGATATGAACAAGTGGTACAAATTCTTGACAGTAAGAATCATTAAGTACATCCAATTTACAAAATTTCGAGCACAGTCTTCTTTAATAACTTCTGATTACATTCATTGTCATCCCCAAAACTTACAAATACCGGGTTGGTGTGTGGCGGGGCTAATTACACTAGTTAAGATACTGTTTTTGCTGTTTCCTTTAATTTATTTTCTTTCTTATTATTACATATCGTAGGTAAAATGTTGGCATTTTATCAGCTGATTGTATGGTGTCTTCGAGGTTGCTCATGAACATGTTGGCCATTAGTGGTCCAAGTGGAGAACCCATGGCTACACCGTCAACTTGCTCATATAGATCACCACCATATTGAAAAAGTTGGTTTTTCGTGGCAACCGTGAGTAGATTGACAAGACCTTGTCTGTCAATTGATAGACCATACTGGACGTTAAACCAATCATGTTCAAAGGCTTTGTCGGCAAGGAATTGAATGGTCTCATCAAGTGGAACATTAGAAAATAATGAGACGACGTCATAAGAAACTAGCAGGTCATTGGTACCAATAGTAGTTGACCTATTTCTTTAGCAAAATCGAATATGTCTGGAATTGTGAAGTCATTGCTTGCTATCACTGTGCTATTATTTGATCGATTGAAAAAAAAAAAGATCCAAGATTTTATCACTTGGTGCTCCAATTTCTGAAATTCAATTCAATTTATATTTCTGTACACATATTTAATTTTCATACGAACCGGAACACAGTTAAAATAATGTTAGATGTCTGTGTGCGTCTACCAGCATATCGATGAAAGTACAAAGTTTATTCCCAGTTGCATTGTTCCGTAATAACGACAGGCTCTGTCTTTTGTCTAGCTGATAAACAACACATACCAATTTGTTGAACGTAAAAATCCCTAGGCAGTTCATTGAAGACATGAATTACTCAATGCCTTAATGGTTGACTGAATATGGGTGGTCTTATTACTAACTAATTAACCATGTGTCACACAAATTTCATAGGCGGAAAAACTGCGTATGAATGGCTAATGATTTCTGGATGGTACTGTAGGTAGGACTTAACTCAGCCTGTAGTTTATCCTCTTCCTCTCAGCCTTTGGTATTACTGTACCTATCTACACTTTATAAAAGGGGGTACTAGCTGTTGTTGTTGTAGATATTATACTAACATTTAATAACATACAAGAAGGTCACAGTTAGTTACACACGTACATCCCATAAATCCATAAGATTTTGTAGGCCTACCGTAGGTAAACATAGAAAGAGCAATAATAGTAAAACTCAGGGTTGCCAGATAGTCGACAGGCTTCACGGCCAAACACACGCCACCTCACGGCCAAATTCGGCCAAACTTTTTTTCGATATCGGCCAAAATTCGGCCAGATTTTAATCCGATTAGAAGACAACAGTGGAATACTCATTCATTTGAAATACTACAAAAATTATACGAAAATCAGCCGTCATTCGTTTGAAATTGAAGAAATTCAAATGATATACACAGAACAATGTTAAAAATAAATAGCCTATGTTCTTTAGTTGCTGGCATGCAGGCCAATTCAGGGGCAAATCCAGAGATGTCCGAAAGGAGGAGGGCCGGGGCCGAAAAAAGGGGTAAAGGGGGGGGGAAAAAGTGGGTCCGATCGAGATAACACTATCTTAGAGGAAATTTGTCTCCACCTTTGACGTCCATTTGCAACTTTAAGTCACAGCTGAAGACCTATTTGTTTTCAGGTGGCTATTCACATGCATTGCACCTTTGATCTTGTTTGGAATTCGCGCCACATAAATTTGAGATATTATATTATTATTATTATTATTATATAAATGCTTAATAACATACCATGTAGATTGTTTTGTTCATCCTAAAAAAAAAACACTAATCTTGTTACATCTGATTTACTATCAAATTTGACACACTCATCTATGACAAAATCCCACAAAATGGTAGTTCAGCATAATAATAAAAGTAAAAATACGCAAATAAGTTCTCTAAAAAAAGCGCTATGTCTAAGTTTCAATTAAGGTCCAGAAGAAGAAGTATAGTATACTCAAGAGAAAACCAATTATAAGCAATAATACCACAAATAACTAGATTTGAACTCGTCACTAAGGACGAGTTAGGTGATCCGCCGTACTTTGACCCTCACGAAGCACGCACGGTTCTGATTGAAAAGTATTATATGCTAAAACATGCTCTATTTAAAGAGTAATTTTGAGTATTTTAAAAGGAATTTTAAACGAAAAGAGTAGTTTTGAGCATTTTAAGGACTTACGAATGTGTACACATACGTCTTAACGTCCGTGCGCACGGTAGTATTGATACAATGTCACAAACCCAACACATGTAACCGAACGTAATTTCCAGCTTCAGTACGTGCTGTGGGCGTGGAAATGAGCGTACGGCGCGTAAATTTTGGAAAGTTTTGGAATATTCAAAATGACCTGAAACGTGCTTTAAATTATCTGAAATGTGATATTAACAATTTTAAAATTTTAACGCACAAGTACGAATACCTTATACGACGTGCTTGACGACGGTAATGGCACATGAATTTAAACCTTGTCAAGTTTAATTTAAAACCCCCTGTTGGTTGGTAATGCCACACGAATTTTGCCTTTACATTATACGAACTATCGGTCTGATAGTGTCGAAATACAGTCTGCCGCCCTCTATTTTCAATGTGTTCATATCTTTTAAGAAAGATGAAAAGGCTCCGAAAAAAGCATTCTTTTTGACCATGATGACGACATCAAAATAAAAAATAAAGGGACACGTCCGAAAGAGAATTGATTTAGCTATAACATACTCACAGATGGGAGACAATCAATCAAGATAAGCGAGTAAGTTCAAAGGAGTATATAAAGTAATAACGAAATAAATACAAATTCAATTTTTTCTTAATTCAAATGGCAATATGATGACGTCACAATGTCCGATCAGCCAAAATGATCTATAAAATCGTATCTACAACTCATGTTCTTTCAGAATATGTAATAAAAATTGGGGGTCACCTTTCATCCTATGGAGCTATAAGTGATTAAAAATATTCATGGTTTTATGCATATGTAAATGTT